GTGATTCTGGTGAGAATGGTGCAAGATGATCATACAAATATCAAACACATCCTTGTCGTAACTGTATAAACACGGGGTCACACGGGTTCCCCCCCACAGAAATATTGGGCGCGCGCGACAAACCGAAGAGACTCCCCCCCAAGAGACCGGCATCTCTAACTCCCCACCGCCTCCAGGGGGGGAGAGGGCTCGAACCGCCCCCCCCCTCTTTTCCCCATCTTTCCAAGGGGAGGTGGACTTGACCAGCTCCGCCCCTGTCTCGCACCCTGGCAGACAAGCCTCTACTACTAGCAATACTGCTACTGCGACTGCTACTGCTACTACTACTACTACTACTACTACTACTACTACTACTACTACTACTACTACTACTACTACTACTACTACTACTACTACTACTACTACTACTACTACTACTACTACTACTACTACTACTACTACTACTACTACTACTACTACTACTACTACTACTACTACTGCTACTGCTACTACTACTACTACTACTACTACTACTACTACTACTACTACTACTACTACTACTACTACTACTACTACTACTACTACTACTACTACTACTACTACGACTACTACTACTACTACACTACTACTACTACTACGACTACTACTACTACTACTACTACTACGACTTACTACTACTACTACTACTCTTACTAGTACTACTACTACTACTACTACGCCTTCTACTACTACTACTACTACTACTACTACTGCTAGTCGTAGTCGTAGTATTATTATTACTACTACTACTACTACGACGACTACTACTACTACTACTAGTACTGCTGCAACTGCTACTATTGCTACCACTACTACATGGAATTCTACTACTACGACGGCTACTTCCACTACTACTACTACTACTTCTACTACTACAACTACCACTATGATTACTACTACTACTACACGTCCGACTATTACTGCTGTTACTCCTCTTTGTCTACACCTACTACTTCTATTACTACTACAACTACTATTACTACTACTACCACTACTACCACTACTACCACCACCACCACTACTACTACTACTACTACTACTACTACTACTACTACTACTATCATTATTACCAATGCTACTACGAGTGCAACTGCGACTGCTACTACGAACACTATTACGACTACTACCACTCCTCCTGCTACTACTACTACTACGACTACTAGGACTACTACGACTACGACTACTACTACGACGACTACTACTACTACTACTACTACTACTACCACTACTACTACTACTACTGCTGTTAGTACTACTACCACCACCACTACTACTACTACTACTACTACTACGTCGACGACGACGACTACTACTACTGCTACTACGAGTACGACTACGACTACGACTACGACTACGACTACGACTACTACTACTACCATTACTACAACGACTACTAAAATTACCACTACTGCTATTCCCACTGCTACCACTACTACTCCTACTGCTACTACGACTCCTTCTACTACTACTCTTACTACTACAACGATTTATACTATAACTACTCCTATTTCTGCTACTACTACTACTACTGCTAATATTATTATTACTACTACTACTACTACCCCTACTACCACTACTACTACTACTACTACTACTACTACTACTACTGCTACTACTACTACTGCTACTACTACTACTACTACTACTACTACTACCTACTACTACTACTACTACTACTACTACTACTACTACTACTACTACTACTATACTACTACTACTACTACTACTACTACTACTACTACTACTACTACTACTACTACTACTACTACTACTACTACTACTACTACTACTACTACTACTACTACTACTACTACTACTACTACTACTACTACTACTACTACTACTACTACTACTACTACTACTACTACTACTACTACTACTACTACTACTACTACTACCACCATTATTTTTGCGTCGACGACGACGATGACGACGGCGACGGCGACGGCGACGACGACAACAACAACGACGACGCCTACGACGACGCCGATGACGGCGACAACGATCTCGGCGGAGGACCTGGCGCTGGCGCTCGCGCACAGCGCCAGCATGTGTGCGGACGTGTCATCGTCATTCTCGTCAGCACCATCGTCATCATCATGATCACCACTGTCATCGTGAACAGCATCGTCATTACATTCCTCCTTCGCATCACGCTCCATTTTCATCATTCAATGAAGGCCCAACAGCGCCCGATCCAGCTCCGATGTGATGCTACCAGGAAGTAGTCCAGCAGTCTAATGAAATCCTTTTAGGGCAGGATCCAGCTCTAATGGAATTTTGTTTGGGTTCGATCCATGCCGGATGGACTGCTACTAGAGGTAGAACCAATTCTAATCGAATCTTACCAGAGCTCGATCCAGATTGTACAAGAAACGAATTGGGATTGGATCCAGGATTTATAGGATTGTGCCAACTCTGGGTCCTGCTCTAAAGGTGCCTTGCGATATCTGGATCCAGCACCGATATAATCCCACTAGGTCTGGGTCCAGTTCTGAACATATCTTGCTACAACGGCTCTACCCATCGCAAGCACAATCCTATCAGGACTGGCCCCAGTTCTACTGGGATCCTACTAAGGCTCGATCCAGATTGTATGCAAATCTATGACATTTAAATCCAATTAAAACTAATGTGTACTAAGGGTCGGTCCACCCCAAACAGAATCTCAGCCGGGCTGGGTCCAGCTATGAAAGAATCCCACAGGGAATCGTCCCATTTCACGGACAATCCCGTCAGGATCGGACCCAAAATTGATATAATCGTAGGTTCGATCCATCACATGCAGAATCCTACTACGGGTGGGTCCAATTCTGATAGAAGCCTGCGAGGGCTTGGTCCAGCTCGGATAAAATTTAGCCAGGGCTCGATCGAGGTCTAGACTGATCCTATCAGGGCTCGATCCCGCTCTAATAGAAGCCTACCAGGGCAGCGCCCAGCGATGATGGAATTTTACTGGGGTCGATTCAGCTTTAGAGAAGCCCGATCAGGGCTTGAACCAACTCTGATAGAAGACTATCAAGGCTTGGTCCACATATTTTCAACTCGTAGTCGGGCTTGATGCAACTCTGCCAGAATCCGACTAACGCTCCGTCCAACTCGAACGCCATATTACTAAGGCTCTATCCAACTCTCGTAGAACCCCTTTAGGGTTGGATGCGTCTCTGATCGAATCCTAATCGGGAGCGTTCAAGCACTTGTAGAATTCCACCAAGGCTCGATCCAGCTTGACTTACATCCTACTAGGGGCCCGTCCAACTCTACTTGAATCCTAAAACAGCTGGGTTCAATGTTGGTAGCATTCTACTGCGGTCGACCCAGCTGCTAGCGTTACATCCAACTCGTCTCAAAACCTAATAGGGATTGATCCGGCGGGCTCGGTCCAACTTACATAAAGCCCGTTCAGGCTGTCTCCACCTCTGATGGAAACGTGCTCGGGCTCGATCCATTTTTTGGGGAACCCTACTGGGGCTCGATCCATACCTGATAGAATCTTGCGAGGGCTCTACCCAGCTTTCGTAAAATCCTGGTTGGCCTCGAGCCTGCTCTAAAAGAATCGTTTTGCGGCTCTATCCAGATGTGATAGAGCCCAACAAGGGCTCCACTCATGTCTGGTAGCATCCGATCATGGCTGTATCCTTATTCAACATAATACTACTTGGGCTCGATCCAATTCTCGTAGAAACGTTACACATATAGGTCAAAGTTTACGACCATCCACAACTAAAGCCCTGTCCAACTCTAGTCGATATTCTCTGGGGTCGATCCAGCTCTACTAGAACCCACCCATACTCGGGCTGGATCCACCTCCTATAGCGTCCTTTTAGTGCTCGATCCAGCCTCAACAGGATCCTACAAAGGGTGGGTCCGACTCTGATAGCTGTGGTCGAACTCTATGAAGGCTGGCTCTAAATGTAACACAATCTTACTAGGGTTCGATCCAGCTCTCTTAGACGCATAACAAGCCTAGATCCAGCTCTGATCGAATATTACTCGGGCTCGTTCCAGATTTTAAAACATTCTACTCAGGCTGGGCCCAGATCGATCTGAATCATACAACTACTGGCATCCTGGGACGGCTCCATCGTCGCCGTCGTCGCGACTTTGAAGTCGTCGTCGTCGGCGTCGTCGTTGTCGTCGTCGTCGTCGTTATCGTCGTCGTCATCGTTGTCGTCGTCTCTGTCCGACGGCGCCGGCGCCGGCCCCCGTGCTCGCCGTTGTCGTTTGCAAGTGGGAAAGGGGCGGGGCGGTTCGAACCCCGCCCTCTCATTGAAATTCAGGGGGGGCGGTTCGAACCCCACCGCACCTCCAGGATGCGCTGTTTCTGTCCAGGCTGGTGATGCTGGTTGTGCTGGAACTGATGGGTGCTACGGAGATGTGATTAGTACTTCCTGCAAAAAAGGACACAGTGCAATCAAGCTGCTGCCACGAGGAACGCCATACAAAGGACGGAGCCCCTCTGTGGTCCCAGAAACGTCTGAGTGTATGAGGAATGCGAAAAGGTAAAACCACCGAAAAACCCAAGGAACAACGAGCCACTTCCAAACCCGAACTGCTCAGTCTCTCAGCGGCTTGACAATACCTCGGAGCACGGTGAGTTCAGACAGCGGCAGATCAAAATCGCTCCCTGAATCACTCCCAGGGTCCGAACGCACCAGCTTTCCGAGCTGCGTCCAGCCGTGGCGACGAGCCCCCCCCCCCGCATCGGCGATGCATTAGCGATGCATCGGCGACGTCAGCGACGCATCGGCGACGTCGGCGTGTCGGCGGCGCGACACGCTAAACCAACGTTCCCGACATCACTCCGACCCCATCTGGGAGGCCTAGGAGTACCGCCACTACAGTGATCGCATGGGCCGATCCCGCCAGTGTGCCTCAAGACCCAGCGCGATCGGCAGCACCAGCTGATCAGGGGTGACGGGGCAGCGCCGCTCACGATGGTCTCGATCGCCGATCGGGGGAAGCCCCTCTGTGGCCGCGGCGGCAACGGGAACGACTGATCGGGAGATGATGCCTGCGGGATGAGCTCTGTCACACCGGGGCGCGCGCACGCGGAGAGAGAAAAATGGGGAAAGGCAAAAGGGGAAGGGGAGGCATGTCGGGCGGGTGCCAAAGGTAAGTCAAAAAAGGCACTAGCCTGTCAGCAAGTACCCCTTCAAAGCTCCTGGTCCCCCGATGGCCCGGGTGGGGCGCAGAAGTCCTGGGGCACCTCAGGAAGCGCAGCACTTGATGACAAACTTGGCTTTACATCTCTTAGAACAAGAGGCTCGCAAGCGCCGGACCCAAACAGTGCGTTTGTGAGAATATTTGTGGTGCTATCCACGTGGCGCAATCAATGTGGTGCAATCTATGTGGTGCAATTGATTTTAACCAATGATTTGACACATCCCATGCTCTTGCAAACATCCCAACCACCCACCCGCAACTTGGTTTGCAAAACCTCTTAAGACCGACTACGGCGACACCGACGACGACGACGACGTCGACGACGCCGACGACGACAACGACGACGGCGACGACGACGACGACGACAACGACGAAGACGACGACGCCGACACCGACGACGACGACGACGTCGCCAACGAAGACGACGACGACGACGACGAGGGAGGAGGGAGGACGACGACGATGACGACAACGACGACAATGACGAGGGAGGAGGGAGGACGGCGACGACGCGAACGACGAAGGAGGAAGGACGGCGACGCCGACGACGACAACGACGAGGGAGGAGGGAAGACGACGACAACGACGACGACGACGACGGCGACGAAATAAGAGGGACGACGACGAGACGCCGACGACGGACGACGACGACGACGAGGGAGGAAGGACGACCACGGCGACAACGACGACGGAAACGACAACGACGCCAAAGAGGACGACGACGACGAACACGCGGAAAGACAGGACGACGTAGGCGACGACGACGACGACGCGGGAGGAGGGAGGACGGCGACGACGACGACGACGACGCAAGAGCGCGTGCGCACGCTTTTGTTGAACATCCGTGTTGCGAAACCTTGTTTGTGTAGGATTTTTTCGGCACACAATGTTGAAATCCTTCCGAAGCCGATGGGTTTTGAAGGATTTCGGCATACGCGCGCGACGACGCGCGCGTCTGCACTTCGTCCCATTCTTTGCCGAGGATTCTCGCGACGGCACGCGCGCAAGGGTGTTCGACAGATTTCGACATGCGCGCACGCGAAGCCCGTTTGGTCGCATTTTGCGAAACTCTTGAAAAACCTATGGTTTTCTTAAGATTTCGCAAGAGCTCGCGCGTAAGCTTTTTTAGCAACTCAGTGTTGCGAAATCTGTGTGTGTTTCTATGTTTTTTGGGAACTCGATTGCGAAATCCTTCCGACACGGAAGGTTTTTGAAGGATTTCGGCATGCGCGCGCGCGACGACGCGCGCGCGTGCACTTCGTCCCGTTTTTTGCAAAAAGGATTCGTGAACAAGTCTTATTTTAGAACAAACAATGTCCCCGCGTTTTGTTTTTTTGCAAGGGAACCTCAGAGGGGGCCGATCCCGGCCCCCCGGGGATAGTGTAAATTCATATTTAGGACGGGCATGTGGTCATAATCGTATTTACATGCGCGAAAAGGGTACGGATAACTCCGGGGGGGCAGAGTCTAATTTCTTCTCAGAAAGGAGAATCAATCACTTGCTCAACTTGAAGCTGTCCTCTCCACTGCTCGTGCAAACGTCGCACCCTCCCACCCGCAACTTGGTCGCAGGACCTCTTAAGACCGTGACGGTGGGTACCAAATGGCACTTGGCAACGACACCGACGCCGACGACGACAGCGACAACGACGACGACAACGCCGCCGCCGACAACGACTACGACGACACCGACGACGTCTCCAACGACTGCGACGACGGCGACAACGGCGACGACGACAACACCGACGACGACGACCACGCCGACGCTGACGACGACGACGATGATAACGCCACCGCCGACGACGACGACGCCGCCGACGACGACGACGACGGCGACGACGAAGACGACGACGACGCCAACGAAGACGACGACGACGAGGGAGGAGGGAGGACGACGACGGCGACGAGGACAACGACGAGGGAGGAGGGAAGACGACGACGACGACGGCGACGACGGCGACGAAATAGGAGGGATAACGACGAAATGCCGACGAAGACGACGAGAGAGGAGGGAGGACGACGACGGCGACGACGACAACGACGAGAGGGAGGAGTGAAGACGACGACGACGACGACAACGCCGACGACGACGACGACAACACCGACGACGACGACGACGACGACGGCGACGACGAAGACGACGACGATGACGACGATGACACCGCCGACGACGACGACGCCGCCGCCGATGACGACGACGACGCCGACGACGGCGACGACGAAGACGACGACGTCGCCAACGAAGACGACGACGACGACGAGGGAGGAGGGAGGACGACGACGGCGACGAGGACAACGACGAGGGAGGAGGGAAGACGACGACGACGGCGACGACGGCGACGAAATAGGAGGGACAACGACGAAACGCCGACGAAGACGACGAGGGAGGAAGGACGACCACGGCGACAACGACGACGGAAACGACGACGATGCCACGACGACTACGACGAGGAAAGACTGAGGACGACGACGGCGGCAACGATGACGACGACGAGGGAGGAGGGAGAACGGCGACGACTGTTGAAAATCCAGGTTGCGAAACCCTGTGTTTTTGTTTGTTTTCTGGACACACGATTTTGAAATCCTTTCGAAACCAAAAGTTGTTGAAGGATTTCGGCATGCGCGCGCGACGATGCGCGCGTCTTCACTTCGTTCCGTTTTTTGCAGAGGACTCTCGCGACGGCACGCGCGCAAGGGCGTTCGAAAGATTTCGACATGCGCGCGCGAAGCCCGTTTGGTAGTTTTGTTGTTGCTGTTGTAGAAAATCTGGGAAAAAACCGATGGTTTTCTTGAGATTTCGCAAGAGCGCGCGCGTAAACCTTTTTAGGCAATCAGTGTTGCGAAACAATGTGTTTTGGTATGTTTTTCGGAAACTCGATTTTGAAATCCTTCCGGAAACGCGAAGGTTCGTGAAGGATTTTTGCATGCGCGCGCGACGACGCTCGTGTGCGCACTTCGTCCCTGTTTTGCAAATGATTATTGAAAACGTATGATTTCTTATATTCGCGAGTGCGCGCGTAGTGTTTTTTGCAGAGGATGGCGGGGGAGGTGATACCGGTGTGGCTAGGATAATATGGATTCATATTTAAGACGGGCGAATGTAGAATCAAGACGGAATCGCAATGCCCCAGGGTGGATCGTTAACTCCAGGGGGGGGTCTCTTTTAGAAAGGAGGATTGATTCTAACAAACGAGTTGACACATCCCATACTCTTGCAAACATCCCACCCACCCACCCGCAACTTGGTTTGCAAAACCCATGCGGTGGCGATTGCGATGCTTGCAAAACCCATGCGGTGGCGATTGCGATGCATGCTTGGCGCTGGCTGGTGCATCTTTGCGGCCGATAACCCTAGCACGCGAGCGCAGCGGCCAGCTAGTTTGGCGCCGCCGACGCGGGCGCGGTGGCGCTGCCCGCTGGGCGCACCCCAGCGGGCAAATCACTGCGAGTCGGCAGTTTGGGCGAGCGCTGTATCATGGCAGCGCCGACTACGGTAGACGCGACGATGATAATGGCGATGCTGGTGACGATGTCCGCGCCGACGAAGGCGCGGCCAGTGCGGGGGCCGATGCCGACCGCGCCGACGACGATGACGGCGTCCTCGCTCCGGTGATGAAGGTTTTGGAAAGTCGACATGCGGGCGCGGCCGACGCGCGAGAGTGGCGCGCATGGTTTATTTGACACGGGTATGCCCCCCCAGAATGCGCGCAAGGTCGTGCGAATGATGTCGGCATGCGGCGCCAGAAGCCGTCTGGCGGACTTCCATGAAAATGTTGGAAGCCCGATGGTAAGCTTGAAAATCCGCAGTGCGCGCGCGAGCTTTTTTTGAAAGCTGATGCTGCGAAACCACATGTTTTTGCATGTTTGTTGGACATTCGGTTTTGGCATCGCTACGAACAGGAAGGTTTTTGAAAGAGTTCGGCACGCGCGCAAAGGTGCTCGAACGATGTCGACATGCGCGCGCGCGAAGCCCGTCTGTCAGTAACTAGTTTTATGAAGATGTTGAAACAACTTAAGGTTTTCGTCAGAATTCGCAAGAACGCGTTTTTTCGTTGTTGTGTGTGTGTGTGTTTTGAAAACCAGCGTTGCGAAACCATTTCTTTTTTTCCCTCAAAAAACTTGTATATATATAAATATATATATCAGCACTCGGTTTGGACATCCTTACGAATCCGTGGGTTTTTGAAAGATTCCGGCGTGCGCGCGCGACGACGCGCGCGCGCGCTTCGCCATTTTTTTTGCGAGGGATTCTTGACCACTTTGATTTTTTATGAACGCATGCGCGCTGATCGTATTTTTCCAGAAAGTGGCGGGGGGGGTCGATGCCGGCTAGGCTGGGATGGTATAAATTTCTATGGTATTTAGGCTGGGCGATGGGGCGAAATCGCATGTAAATTGCAACGCAAAAAGGTGTGCCGATGAACCTGGGGGAGGGCGATCCTAATTCTCTTTAAGAGGGCGAAATTCCCTTCCGAACTTGAAGTTGTCAACCCCAATGCCCGCGCAACCATCCCGCCCAGCCGCCCGAAACTTGGTTAGCAAAACTCACGTGGCGGCGATTGCGCTGAGTGTTTTGCGTTGACTGGGTCATCTCTGCGGCCGCGCTGGCCAGCGCATGCTCGCCCGCGAAGCGGCCGGCTTGTCTGGCGCGGCCGACGCGGCCGCGGCGGCGCTGACCGCTGGGCACTTCCCAGCGGCGACTTCAGTGCGGGTCGGCGACTTGGGCGGGCGCGGCATCATGGCAACGTCGACGGCGGTAGGCGCGATGATGGTAGTGGCGATGCTGGTGGCCATGGTGACTACGACGACGGCAAGGCCGAGTGACGGCGACGTCGCGTCGGCGATGAA